ATGATGATTTCCAAACCATGCCCTTGGAGACTCCAGAGTGTGGAGCAGCTGTTGGTGTTGTGGAAGTTGCTCTGATAACTATTGCCAAGATGTCACTCTTCATTTTAATTGCATGCATGTAACTACAGCTCAGTGTATTCCTGTTCTATTTCCTCCATGCTATTATGAAGTTTTATGATGCTTCGTGGAGGTTGCTGTCTTTAGAAGCTGCGACCCTTCACATCACATTCCTTTTATTCTCTTTCCCAATGCAAGTCCTACTTCTCACCTGAAGCAGTTTTCTTCAGTGCTGGGAAAGTCAGTGACCCTCCCTTTATCCCCTCCGGACATCTGTGTCTGCACACAGAGTCTGTTGCTTTCTCCTCTGCTGGATCCAGCACTGTGAGCCATGTGCCCCTTGCTTCCCTCAGCTCCCACCTGTGTGCCCACTGCTGCTCCTTGCTCTCGCTTTGCCGTCTGGAGACGGTCAGTTGTGCCCACAGGAGGCAAACTCTCATCTTCTGAACTCAGTAAGAACATCTCTAAGTCCTAGGCAGGAGTCTGAGCTCCTGGAAATCCCAGAAAATGATAGGAAATCCAGACCTGCTCATGGATTGACAGAGGTGACATGGGGAGAAGTGTTTGTGATCTGATGGTGGGGTGACAGCCTCAGACACTGGTGTGCACTGACACATCCATTCACTTATCCGAGCTGGAGGTGTTGGAAGCTCTTGTTATCCCAGCAGTGCTGTTTGCCATGCTGCTGTTCCCACGTGGAATGAGTGGAACCAAGTGGCTGGTTACTTTGTAGATTAAACCTGATGAAAAGGAAAAATGCTCCTGCTGCAACATGTTTGGGTTTTGTGGTGCTGATCCCTGTTGGGCTGAATTCACCAATCCGCTTCCTGTGCTGGGTGCTGAACACATTTGTGGGATTTAACAGGATTTTGCCTCTTGCATGGTTCCTGAAGGAAAGCTTGCCCTTAGCTGCTGTGTGCCTGATGCTTGGGTTGGGATGTGAAAATTGATGGATGTGTTTGTTTGTTCAGGGAGAAATAAAACCAGCTCTGCCATCAGTGGGACCCAGGTTCTGGCAGAAAGGAGCAGCAGGGAAGGATCTGCCCCGAGGATGCCCCGACAGCCCAGTGCCAGCCGGATGCAGAAGGCTGGAGCCTCTGGGAAGAACACTGGGGGAGGCAACAGTACCTAAATAAGGCCTTGGAACTAGATGGATTTTAGTACTTGACGATGTATATAAACTATGTTTGTTAAAGCTGCTTGTGTTGTGTGTATTAACCAATAAACATGATTTGTAATACAGGACTGTTGTTCCAAAACTTCTTTGGCCACACAGTCTGTTAGGAAGTGTTCTTTCATTTGTTCTTGCCCTGTTCCCCTCCTGTGCCTGTTTATGGGGTTTTAGCACTATATCTGAAATCAGGTGGACCTTTCCCATGGCAGTCCTCCCAGTGCTGGTGTGATTATAAAGTGTTACAGTCCCCTTTGCCTCATGAGCCAGGTCAAAGGAGGAGGTTGTGCCAGATAAGGGAGGCAAGAGAAGTACCTGAAACAAGTAAATGGGTTTGTTAGGGCTCAGGTGTTCTCATTCATCATTCCAGAGCATCTCCAGGCAGCTGTGGGGGCAGGGGCCATGAGGGGAGGTGGCCAGGCATGAATGATCCCAGTGCTGGCCTTCAGGAGAGCAGAGTTTGGCCTCTGTGGGATCTGCTTGATACAGTCCCATGGGATCAAGCCCTGGAGGGAAGTGGCACTCAAGAAAGGAGGTTTATAGTCAAGGATTACCTTCATGCTCAGGGGCAGTCCATCCTGACACCCCAGAGCTACATCCCATGCTTGAGTTCCAACTGCATCCCTGACACCCGCTCTTAGAGCTGTGTCCCTGACCCCCAAGCCCATTTCTGACCCCTCATAGCCTCAGCCTTGTTCCCTCCAGGCCCTGCAGAGCTGAAGATGCTGCTGTGGGGCTGCACTGGCTGGGGTGCAGCACCGTGGGGTCCCCCATGGCACCTCAGATCAGGGTTCTGGGGGTTCTGTGTCCCCTGAGGTTGGTGCAAGGGGCACTCCAGAAGGGACAGGGCAGGATCTGGGCTGGGATGAGGGGTGGTGGGGTCAGCCAGGGCTGCAGGGAGCCCCCCCATGCCATGAGACAGCCTTAGGTTATGTGACTAAAAGCTCATCTCTGTGAGTGAAGAGGAGGAGAGGGGCAATGAGAGGTGGAGGAGCCCTGGGAGTCTCCGCAGTGCCAGGGATCCCCTGTCCTGGCTGCTCGTGGGGCCGTCGGTGGGCCCAGGAGGAGCTCCCACCCTGATGGCCAATGGGGCCACTCTGCAGGTCACTTCTTGTGCTGAGGGGGTGACTGCCTAGGGGTGAGGGAGACCTTATGGGATGCAAGGGAAGAGCATTTGGGGATTGTACAAGACTTATTATGGGATGGTTAGAGGGAGGAACCAAAGGTGGGGAAAAGAAGGTATCAAGGTGGTTTAGGAAGCCTTAAATGTGGGAAAATTAAGAGATAAGGATATGACAGGAGCTGTGTAGCATCTAACTGCCCATCTACCATCTGAGGGTATGTGCTTCCAGGGGATACACTGCTGGGGACATGGACATTTGTCACTATTAGGATGCTTAATCAGGTGCACGTGTTGCACGCTAATTGGTGACTTTCTGTGCAAAGCTGGTTTTCAATAACTCTTCACTGTTTAAATGGGCATCATTTGCTGTAACATTGTCCTGAAGGCTTATAAAATCAAGACAATTTTATATTCAAAAAAGATTTGTTTTATAAGCCAGTTAAAGCAGGTAAGCCAATCAAACCAATTAAAGCTCTGTCAACATTTGAATAGAGATTTGTGATGCCAAGTGGAATTGGTACTACCCAAGTGACTTCAGAATTCTCAGGATTTTAGAAGGGTAACACAGAATGTGCAAACACTCCTATGGTTAGTTGGGGACTCGCAACTTCACGGAGTTACCTTGGTCCTGACCCAAGGGGAGGGTCCCCAGCTGTCATCTTTCAAGGAGTACTAACTCTGCTGCCCTCCTTGCCCATCTGGGCTCCACCTATACCCCAGCTGAATCTGAGCAGTGGTCAGATCCAGCCACAATAACCCTCAGTGGTCGGAGTCTGACCTGCCCCACCACAGCCACCACGCAGAGGTGCTGCACACCAAAATCCATCCATGGCACGGCTGAGGTCAGTCGCAGGTCACTGTCTGCAGGGCTGGTGGAGCCGGTGCACTGTCATGAACATCCAGTGAAGTTTATCCTTGAATAGGAATGAACACCTGCAAAAGGAGGAGTAGGGAAAGCAGGGGGAGAGACTACAAGCTCTGCCGGGGAACCTTCTGCCAGGACCTACAGACTGTCTCCCTGCACCGTCACTGCCACAAAAGGGAGGGAAAAAAAGAGGGGGGAAAAAAGAGACCAAGACCCAAACAAAGCCACGATGGCCCGTACGGGGATCGAACCCACGACCTTGGCGTTATTAGCACCACGCTCTAACCAACTGAGCTAACCGGCCACTGCCACCCCTCCCGCGTCACCGCGTCCTGCCCCGCGGCGGCCCCGGGGCCCCCAAAAGGGGCCAAAAACAAACAAACAAAAGCTAGCAGAGGATGGTTTCGATCCATCGACCTCTGGGTTATGGGCCCAGCACGCTCCCGCTGCGCCACTCTGCTGTCATTCCGGCGCCTTTTCTTGCCGTCAACATCCCCGTCCCTGCCCCGCCAGGCCCGGCGCGCAGCCCGGGGGCCTGAGGGGACAGTGGTGGCCCCGCACCCAGCGGGGTGGCCGCGACAGCCCCGCTGTCCCCTCACAAGGGGTGACAGCGGATGAACCGCTGTGGTGCGCGGCTGTCCGACCTGCTGCCGGAGCTTTGCCTTTCTCCCAGGAACTCGCTCCACGTGTCCCCCCGCTGAAAGCTGAACGGAGACGTTACCGAACGCGGCATATTTCTTTAAAAAGGGTTCCAAGCAGCAGCGGGGGAAGATGTTGGAAAATTCTTTTAATTTTTAGCAAAAGAGTGTTTGCCATGGTTACCACACAGTGCCTGGTACGAATACCAGAGATTAATGTGGCTTTGTGTTAACCCCCTACATCTGTGACTAATAGTCTTGTGCCAGATAATGCTCCCTTATTTACCTGTATCAGTGATTAATATGCACTAGTCTTACGTCTTATAATTAATTAATTAATTAACTAATATATACTAGTCTTATATGTCTTAGTTTTGAGAACAAAGACGGAGTGCCAGAGCAAAGAATGGTAAGAGAAGTGGATCATGACCTGACCACATATCTGAGATACTCATTAGGAGATCTGGAACAATAAAAGGGAAATTTGGGGAATGGGATGTTCCCCAAAGACCACCAAAGACCCTCAAAAGACCCCTGCTCATATCTAAATAAGTCTACAGAAATAATTATCATATATGCATGTATTCAAGAATGTAATTAATATGTAATAGGAATGTAGTGAGTATGTATTAGTTTCATGGCTATAAATTGGTCTCTTTGGTTGCTGGGTGTGCATTTTGGGTGGAGGGATTCCCCATGCACCCCGTGTGTGGAATAAAGGAATGTTGACTTCCTAACCCAACAAACTGGTTGGAGAGTTTGTTTCCCAGTTTTCAATAACAGAGACAAAGCCCGTCTGGGATCTTCTATTTTTTGCTATAAATTGTGTTTCAACTTATTCTGAACTGAGTTTCAGCTGTAGTGAGGAAAAAGCAAGCAAGCAATAATATGTATATAATGACATTCATAGATTTATTTTGCTTACTTTACAGTGCACACCACATACTCTTTATCTCTCCCCAGACCACCCCCCCCACTGATAGCAAGATTATTTACCCATTTTGTTCCTCTGGTTATATTTTTTTAAGAGATACACCTACATATTTCCAAGCTTTATTCACACTAACTACATTCACACGCAATGTAATTGTGTCTGTAACTCATTAAGGATCATTACCCCTTATTTTTTGGTACAGAAAGCAGCCTTCAGAAAGCCAGCAATTTTCTCATATGCTTCTGCAGAGCTTTCTTTATTTCTTTGTTTCTCAGACTGTAGATGAGAGGGTTGACCAAGGGGGTGAGAATGGTGTAAAAAGCAGAGAAGATTTTGTTTGGCAATATGTGGGTATCGTGAAAAGGGAGTATGTAGACAACTACTATTGACCAGTAAAAAAGAATCACCACAATCAGATGTGAGGAGCAAGTGGAAAAGGCCTTTTTCCTTCCAGTGGCAGAAGGAATTCTCACGACTGTGGCAATGATGCAGAGATAGGATGAGAAGGTCAACAGGAATGGAGGCAGCGAGCACACACCTGCCACGACAGAAGTGACAAATCCCACCAGCCGCGTGTCGCTGCAGGAGAGTTTCATCACCGGGAAGGAGTCACAGAAGAAGTGGTCGATTTCATTCGGCCCACAGAAATCCAAATTCGAGATCAGGAACGTCAGTATGGAATTGGACAGAAAGCCACTGCCCCAGGACGCAGCGCCCAGGCGGAGGCAGAGCTTGGTGTCCATGCGGGATGGGTAGTGCAGGGGCTCACACACCGCCAGGTACCGGTCGTAGGACATCGCGGCCAGCAGGTAACACTCTGCCCCCGCCAGGCAGCCGAAGAAATAGTACTGTGTGAAACACCCCCTGACTGAAATGCGCCTGTCTCCACCTGCGTAGCTGAGCAACATCCTTGGCAAGATATTGGAGCTGTAGCAGATTTCCAAGCAGGCCAAATTGCCCAGGAAGAAGTACACGGGGGTGTGGAGGTGCTGGTTAACCACCGCCAGCACAACGACGCACGTGTTCCCAGTTATGGTCACCAAGTAGATCGACAGAAACATCAGGAAGAGAAAACAATCCAGTTCAGGGCCATTCCCAAAATCTAGGAGGATGAACTCCGTAACAACTGTTCGATTTTTCCACTCTTGATTTGCCATAACTTTTGTTCTAGTGTTAAGTCAGGAAGTGCTACCAGCAATGAAGACCTCTACAGTTAGGAAAATAACGAAAATTTCCTCACAGAATAGAGAAACCAAGAGTAAAAAGTCTTTGCATCACCAGACCTGTCGTGTAATTTTTACAAAAAGATTTCTCACACACAGAGTCACATTAATTATTACTCCACGTACTAAGAGGAGCACCTGCAACTGAACTGATGTCCATGTTTCTTCTCTGGCACAAGGGTGCTTTCTAGCATGTCTCCAGTCTGTGCAAGCAAATTAAAAATCAAGTTCTTTTATCAGATGCTGTCACAAGTTTTGCCATATTCTTTTCTGTTGTGAAGAAAATAAATATTTGGTCAGATTGCTCCAGCAGTGACATAGCTGTATTTGCATTGTTAATAAGTATTGATGTCATTGATGTATATTATATATTCACTATTTATAGGTATGTGGCATGACTTCTTGTGCAGACATTTTTCTTATTTGAAGAACAATTCAAATTTAGCATTTCAAACACATTTCAAATCTTATTTGAATTCAACTTCCTTCACTGAAAAGAAGTATGAAGGACATGTATACCATTCTCCACATATGTTTACCCTGTCAAAAAAACCCCTGAAACACTCACAAACAAAAGCACTTTGCAATTGTCTCATCCTTCATTCTTGTCAAGAGGTAGAACAAATTTAAGGAGTTTAATTCACCTAAAAAAGACAGAGTAACTAATCTTTTGAAAGGACCAATTTTTTGTCACTGAGAAATCAGAGAGACTTCAGTAGCCAGGTGCTTAATCAGAAAAATACAGTTCAGATAAATCCTACTGCTTGTCATAGCGCTCTTTTTTATTTTCCTCTCCTGTGTCATTCTCTAGATTCCCTTACAAATCTGATTTTCCAAAAATCCTGGGGCTTTGAAGAATTTTTTCTGGATTTTCCTAAAAAAAATATCAGTGGTCAAACTAGCCACAATACTGTGGTTAAGGGTAAACTGGTACAGGGAGACAACAGAGGGTGGATGCAAGGACAGGTAGCCTGAGAGGAATATAGAAAAAGAGTCTGAGCAGGCAGAGATCAAGTTAGGAGAGCTAAAGCCTTGAAAAAAGTTAAACCTGGCCAAGGACACCAAGGGCAACAAAAAAAGCTTCTATATATATGTTGGGGATAAAATGTGGGTCATCTCTGGAAAGAAAGAGATCTGGTTATGTGGGACTTGGAGAAGAATGAGGTACTCCACAGCTTTTTTACCTTGATCTTCACCAGCAAGTGCTCCATCCACACTGCCTGAGTCACAGGAGGTAAAGGCAGGAGTGGGAGAATGAGGAGAGGATCAGGCACAGACCATCCAAGGGGGCTGAAGGTGCACAACTCCATGGGAGATGACGAGACACATCTGTACATTTTGTGGGAAACAAGTGTCTAAGCCACATTTGACAGGTTGTAACAATCCAGTGAAGTTTCCAGTGAAGTTCCCACTGCCTGGAAAAGAGGAAACATAACCCTCACATTTAAAAACAGAAGCAAAGAAGACCCAGGGAGCTACAGATCAGTCAGTCAATGGTGTGTTGGACACACTGGAGGGAAGAGATGTCATCCAGAGGGTTCTGGCCAGACTGGAGAGGTGGGACCATACAAACCTCATGAAGTTCAACATGGCCAAGGGCAAGGTCCTGCCCCTGGGCAGGGGCAATCCCAGCACAAACACAGGCTGAGGGGAAATGGATGGAGAACAGCCCTGGGCAGAAGGACCTGGGGGTGCTGGCTGACGAGAAGCTCATGGACATGCCCTGGCCACGTGTGCTGGAACCCAGACACCCTCCTGTCCTGGGCTGATCCCACAGAGTGGGCAGCAGGGGAATGGGGAATTCTGCCCCTCTGCCCTCATACAATAGCGTAACTTTGCAAGACTTACACGCTTCTTTCCACAGAATTAATTTTAAAATTTCCCTTTAACTCTCACGCATTCAAACCCCAAATTTTTAGTTAGTTTTCTAACATCTGACCACTGAAAATGCTGGAAGTGTGGCCTGTTTCTGTGTCAGTCAACAAAACCTTCAGCACTGTTTCTTACCTGAAGCCACAGGAACATCGAAATCCAAGTAAAAGCTCTTTGACTTCTTGAGGTTTTTGTATACAGCTTTATTTTCATGAAGATCTTGATTTTCTTGGGCACAAGGGGAAAAAGAAGAAAATTAGAGCTCTGTGTTTGCAAAAACATGTTGTGTGTGTTGTCCCCTCAATAATTTTCAGATTTTCCTTTTTTTTTTATTTAACCAACTGAATATACCAGCTCTTCCATTCTATCAGGTAGAGACTGTTCCTCCTACCCCTTCACTCCTTAAAATCCTTTTCAGAGCTGAGACCAGTGAAACACCCCAGGGGATAATCAAGCAAACAAAAGCCTTGGAGAGGTTGTTGTCATCAGCCTCATAAATAACATAAATAACCATTCTTTCCCCGTACACTCTGGTTGGAATTAGCTCTTTTTTAGCCTACACTTTGATCACTTTTTGGGCCCGGATGGAATTACGTGGATAGATAGAACGATGATTGAGCTAGAGATTACTATGATGATCATCATTGTCACCAAGTCAGCACTGCTGTGTTGACATCTAAACCTGACTAGGGCCTGGATTCAGTGCCAGGCAGATGCCTGTGAGGCTAATTCAGGTGTCCTCTGGAGATGCTGCTCCATCTTCTTTCTCCACAGGGCTTCTTCCTCCTAGCTGTGGTATCACAGATAAGTGAGATGATTGTGCCAGGTCCTGATTTTGTACTGCAGCCTCCCAGCTGGCATTTAAGAAGGTCGGGTCCGTTGAAATTTGTTAGTCGGTGTTCAGGCTGCAAGGCCAGGCAGAAACAGCTTGATCTCTTGGCAGAGCACAACTCTGCATCTGCTTGGTGAACCTCGAAAAGAAAAAAAATGCCATAAGAACAAGAGAAAATTCAAAGATCACATGAAAAAGTGAAGTCCCTCCAAAATTACGAGAAGGTGTTGTATTAACGCAAACACCGCTAGAGGGGAGTGTAGACAAAACAGTCTGAAAGACCAATTTCTGCCGCAGTGACTTGGGCCCCTGCGGAGCTGCAGAGGCTGAATGTCATCCGTCTTGATTGCTGACATGAGATGGAATAGATCTGTCTCAAAAATACAAAATCTGCCTGTTGACTTTCCCACGGGATACCCCTGGTTTCTCACCAAGTAGCCACTGTGTCAGTTCTACTGTATCATAGAGTAGAATTATAGAATCATAGAACCAGCCAGGTTGGAAAAGACCTCAGAGATCAACCAGTCCAACCCTTGATCCAACACCTCCGTGGTTACCAGACCATGGCACTGAGTGCCATATCCAGTCTCATCTTGAAAACCTCCAGGGACGGTGAATCCACCACCTCCCTGGGCAGCCCATTCCAATGTCTGATTACTCCCTCTGTAAAAAGTTTCTTCCTTATATCCAACCAAAACCTCCCCTGGCACAGCTTAAGACCATGCTCTCTTGTCCTGCTGCTGGTTGCCTGGGAGAAGAGACCAATCCCCACCTGGCTACAACCTCTAGGTTGGTAATAAAAGGAAGACAGAGGATAAAGTGGGCCATCTTTGGAAGGATAGTGGGAGACATGGAAGCTGGCGCAGATGGCTTCTTATTCACTTTGCAAGGGTAGATGGTGGATGTTGAAATTCAGAACATGGTATCACCTGCAGTAGCAGTGTTTGTTTGCAGACTCTATTTCTTTGAATTTTGCAAAAATGTGGATCTATCACATGATCTTAGAGCCCCTCCAGAGCCTAAAGGGGTTCCAAGAGAGCTGGAGAGGGACTTTGAACAAGGGTCTGGAGAGACAGGATGAGAGGGAATGGCTTCCCACTA